TTGGTTGGTATATAGCTTTTCATAGTATTCTCTTATAATCTTTTGTATTTTTGAGGTGTAGTTTTCACTTCTTTGGTTAAGTTTATTCGTAAGTATTTTATTCCTAAGTATTTTTTTTTGATATTATTGTAAATGTTTTTTTTTTTTTAATTTCCTTTTTAGATGGTTCATTGTTAGTGTAGAAAAATGCAACTGATTTTCGTGTGTTGATTTTTGTATCCTGCAACTTTACTGAATTCATCTTTTAGTTTTAACATTTTTTTTTCCTGTGAAGTGTTTTGGGTTTTCTACATCTAGGATCATGTCATCTGCAAACAGATATAATTTTACTTCTTCCTTTCTGATTTCTTTTGTTTCTTTTTCTTGCCTAATTGCTCTGGCTAGGACTTCCAGTAGAGTAATAGAAGTGGTGAGAGTGGACATCCTTGTCTTGTTCCTGATCTTAGAGGAAAAGCATTCAATTTTCACCACTGAGTATGAAGTTAGTTGTGGGCTTGTTATTTATGGCCTTTATTGTGTTGAGGTACATTCCTTCTATACCTAGTTTGTTGAGCATTTTATCATGAAAGGGTATTGAATTTTGTCAAATGCTTTTTCTGCATCTATTGAGAAGATTATGTGATTTTTTAATCTTTAAATCTGTTATTATGGTATATAACATTCATTGATTTGCATATGTTGAACCATCTTTGCATCCCAGGGAAAAATCCCGCTTGGTCATTGTGTATGATCCTTGTAATGTGCTACTGTATTGTTTTCTTTTAAAAAGGATCTCAAACAATTAGAGCAAAATATTAGGATTTGATAAAACTCAGTACTGGGTACCCTAAGTACCCAGGGGTTCATTATATTATTCTCAACATTTGTCAGTGAGCTTGATATTTTTCATAATATTCTTTTATATATGTATGTAAAGCAAAACAATTGAATAGCCACTTCTTTATTGTGAATAGTCACTTGAATTCAATAGCCATTTCATTCAAGTTTAAATAATTTGGGATTAGACTATCTAGAAGTGGTTAAAGCATCAAATTGGTTGCTTAAAATGAGTTGGAATAGAAAAATAAACAATCACATAATTGATTTCTTTTTTTGGTTGGCTATGTGGTACATTATATGTGGTACAATGTAGAATTAATATGTCTTAATATGTCAAAAATATACCAACAGTTTTTTTCCTGGTGGTGAAGCAGCTTCAGTCACGGTGAAGAAGTGGACACTGTCAGAGTGTGGCCACTGCCAGTGGGGATTTCACTAACCATTGTTCTATTCCAACATCCATGTTATCATGTATGTAAGGAAACAGGCTTCACTGCTCTTCTATCAAACACCTACAAAGGGAGGAACTGTTCATTTTTACATATTCTTGGTGTCCTCTTCCAACCACTTATTTGCTTGTTTCTGCATTTTTCAGATTCTTGAAATTAAAAGGATACTACATAATAGTCGTACAAGTGTCTACTGATTTGTGAATCTATAAGCAGTTTTTAAAATCTGTTTTAATCACCATAAGTATCACTTGGGAGATAGATATTAATTAAATCTTAACTGATTTCATTTTAACTGACTGAACTCCTGAACCATTTGGAGACAAGCATACATTCCCAGTGTACAAGCATCATTTAGGCAAGTTCAGGAATTATTTAAGAAGTCTAGGGGGCCAGCCCCACGGCGTAGTGGTTAAGTTTGGCATGCTCTGCTTCAGCAGCCCGGGTTCGTGGGTTCAGATCCTGGTCATAGACCTACATGACTCATCAGCCATGCTGTGGTGGTGACCCACATATAAAGTGGAGGAAGACTAGCACAGATGTTAGCTCAGCGACAATCTTCCTCAGCAAAAAAAAGAAAGAAAAAGTCTAGGTAATGGAATGAGAAACTTGTTTCCTCTTCTGGTCTGTGCCCCCTGTGTGATGTGTTATGATGTAGAATGGCTATTAACTCTTCTACCCCTGGAGTGACTCAACCGTGCAGGACCACTGAGCTGCATGACTCCAGGGACTGCCACTCACTTATAACGTGACGACCTGCATGAAGATGCAATTCACAGTGCATCCTAGGAAGATGGTGCCTTCTGAAGTTATGCAAAGCCAAGACCCTGCTATCTTGGCTTAAGAAAGGGACATTCTAGTGAGAAAAAGCTACAAAACAAAAGAACTGAGCAAAGAATGGACCAACCTGACAGCGTGTATGATGGAGTGACAGCTTCAGGCTCTGCAGCTGGAGTGGGGCCAGGTGAATCATCAGCACCTGAGGGCCAAAAGAAACCCACACGCTAAGGTCTCTGGTGCTGTTTGTAATAGAATACTCTTTAAAATAAATCATTCAGAAATGTCTGAGGGGAAACAAAGCAGCAACTTCTCGTTAAGAAAATGGCCCCTCACCTGCACAGACGACACCAGCATCCTCCAGGTGCCCGCAGTTGTGCCTGGCCTCACCCCTGTGCACGCACTGCCCCAGGTGGCTCTCGCTACCCGCACACTGCACGTCGTCCAGCACGATCTTCCCCGAGCCTGCCCCAAAGTGGGCCCCTGTCGGGGCAGCCACAGCCTGGCCACACTGCAGCTGATGGCACACCACAGTGGCCTCAGCCATGTCCCAGAGATCGTCACACACAGTCCCCCAGGTGCCCTGGACGAGAACCTCCACGCGGCCTGAGCACCTCCCCGTGCCATTCACCAGCCTCACAGCCATCCAGGATCCTGGGAGACACAAGGAGGAGAGACATTGGGGACCCAGCTCTCTGAGGTCAGGGAGATTTCCTATATTGAGTATATTGGTAGGCAATAACTCATTTTTTCAGAAATGCTGTCTCTTGGTCACATACCTCATCATCTATAGTAAAAAAATAGCCCTTGTAGCTTTCTTTATTTTATTTAGTATTCTCTTTCTTCTCATTGGGAGGATTTGTATTCTACAGTGCAGCCCAACAGAGCTGGGATGAATATCCCCAGGTTATTTTTAAAGGAATTGTTTGCTGGTTACCTGGTGATGTTGTTCATTTAGGGGATACGGCTTATGGAAATGTAGTTCGGCAGTTAGAGGCCAAGGGGCAGCCCCATTGATAATGAAAAGTCACTTCAAATGGGCAAGCCTTCAACTAATTAAAAAGAGAACGTTTGTTTCTCTGAATGGATTCCTAGCCTTGTTTGGGGCATGTAACTTAGGGATGGATCCCATTCCAGAGGCACAACTGAGTTCTCAGCATGAAGACAGGATTTCTCTAATCCAAAGCTGGGCCCTGACTCCACCTTTTATTACAACTGAACTTCAGTTTCCTCAACTGTAAAATGGAAATAACATCCTCCCTGGCTACCAGGCAATGCTGTGAAGATTATACTAGACCATATTTGGGGAAATATGCCAAGAATGGTTATATTGGGAGCTTATGTGCTAAGGAGAAAGCCTAGGGACAGTTGAGGAGATAGATTTTGCCCAAGTGAAACAGTGAAGGAAAAAATGGAAAATCCAAATTAACAGTTAACATTTTACCTTTCATATCTTTTATTATAATAAATTCTCTGTGGTAGACAGCCTAATAATATACTTAACATTTAATATTTTCATATAATTTTCTCAAATAGTCTTGGCATGAGCAAGTAGTCTTTGCTCATACCTTCCTTCTCCAGGGCGCTCGAGGTAGCTTTGACACACGTCACCATGAAAAACACAGTGAAACCAACACTGTCCTTGTAGTCAGACAGGTCAGGGTGAATCCAGCCTTTGCAGCATATGGTTGTGTGACTCTAGTCATTTGACCAGGATCATCTGTTCATCTGTCTTCTCTGAGCCTCTGTTAATTCATTCGTGAAATGTTGGAAATAGCACCTTCCTATATGGTTATTGTGCAGTAACGATGTTGTGAAAGCACTTAATTCTGTGCACGGCACATAGTAGATGCTCAGAAAACACTAAGCACAACACTAGCCAGGTCAAGGAAGAGGCATTACCTGCTGGCGTGAGTGTGGAGTGAAGGCTGAGAGAGTCTGTTGTGGGTATGGTAGCTGACAGTCCATCTCCTGTAAACAGGTAGAAACAGGGACATCACTTGTGACCAGGAGCCTCTTATCTCCAGGTAGGAAAAGATAATGTTTGCCAGGAGAATATTCTGAAAAGTTAGACTCAGATATGACATCGTGTCTTCCATTGGTTTCCCCCACAAAGTTTCAGGCAGGGAAGACCTCACTTTGCCTGGTCTTTAAGCTTAGTTATCCAGTCCCTAAGATGAGGTTTGAGAATATTCCCCGAGGTCTGTACATTAGAGCTCTCTGAATGCCCACAAGTCCATTTTGGGATCTCTCTGCTGCCATTTCTGTTCTTTCTCATTTGGGAAACAACCAACTCTGTGCAATCGTGGAGACTGTGTGCATATCAACGCATGGACTTTTCAGGCTCTCCCTAGGTGTTTGGCAGATTAGTCTAGACTGTGTGTTTATCTAACCAATACGAGACATATGCAGCACCTTTGAGCAGCTCTTGTTTCTCATTTTGCCTCATAAAACATCAATCCAAACGATCTTACTGCCATATCATTATGGAGTCAGTTGGCCCAAATCAGTGTTTAAAATGTCAAATAGCAATTAACCCAGCAAACTGGATTTTGAGTGTGGAGAACTGATTTGTGATTTCATTTTTCAGTTGGTGCTGATAGAGCTGGCCTCAGTCTTCAATAACAACCCAGAGGCTGCTGCTGAAGGAGATGGAGACTCAGCACAGCTCGGATGCAGGAGGAATGACGCCCACTCTGGGTGCCTCAGCACTAGGAGCTCTGCTGCCTTCCCCATGCTTGTGCACTCTACGACATCAATTTGAGGGAGCTGGTCCTGCTGCCAGCATCTGACAGGTGTACAAATATTCTGGGGCATCATCTGCTTTTATAAGACTTTTAACCTCTTTGGACCCTTTTCAAATTGATTAAATAACAATAGATTGAACTCCTGAATCAGTGGGATACAATTTGGATCTCCCAGCAATAACCACTGACATACAGGGAAAGGACCCTTCAAGAATTTCAGGTGATGGATAAGCATCCCATTTTGAAAAACGTCCTGCCCCTTTTATTCTTATCTACAGTCCTTGCACAGTAAAGAGGAACTGGGTAGCTCTGTTATCCCTATCTCTACTGCAGTATAGATTGAGACAGTGTCTTCTAGATGGTGAAAAGAACTGAAAGCAAATGTAGCAAGCAAAAATGACCTACCTGTGAGTGTGTACAGTGAGGAAGCAGCCTCCGACCCTGGGGTGGGGGCAAGTGCTGGTGGACTGTCACCACCTGAGGGTCGAAAGACATCAGCATGGCTTATTACAATAAGGCTTATAATACAGGGCTTATTCAATAAATTGCTTAATGATTGGTGTGAACGCAGGCTGAAAATGCCTGAAAGGGCATGAAAGCAGCAACATTCTGGGAGGTGACAGTTCCTAACCTGTGCAGATGACGCCGGCATCCTCCAGGTGCCCACAGTTGTGCCCGGCCTCGCCCCCGTGCACACACTGCCCTAGGTGGCTCTCGCTGCCCACACACTGCACATCGTCCAGCACTATCTTCCCTGAGCCTGCCCCAAAGTGGGCCCCTGTGGGGGCTGCCACGGCCTGGCCACACTGCAGCTGGTGGCACACAATGGTGGCCTCGGCCAGGTCCCAGAGGTCATCACACACGGTCCCCCACGTGCCCAGGACAAGAACCTCCACGCGGCCTGAGCACCTCCCTGTGCCATTCACCAGCCTCATGGCCATCCAGGCTCCCCGGAGACACAAGGAAGAGAGACACTTGGGGGCTGGCCCTCTCATCTCTGGAAGGTTTCCTTTATCCTTTTAAATCCTTAGGTGGTCATATTCCCATTTTACCCCAACATGCAAGATCACACAGTTCTCATGCACCCACACATTAAGAACAGCCAGAATAATCTTCAACTTTAAATCCCTTCAATGAGACTTCCAAAAGATGAAGCTCTATTTCCAAAATTTCCAGAATTCCTAAGTTCTCCTAACAAGACCATTTTATCCCTATGTTATTCTCTTGCCACGGACAGGGATAGAAATATGAGATGTCAATATATCCAATGAAATAGGAAACTAGACTATCCATAGGCAGATCATAGCCAAATAGACTCCTTGTCATCCAGACTACATTAGTCTTAGAGCAACTTGGTCCCTGTGGCCCCATAAATCTTTCCTTATGACTTTACTATGTAAAAGAAACCTAGGACAGGAATTAACATTTGTTGTTTGTGAGTTAGGTGCCAAAGCCTCAGAGAGCCACTAACTTAAATGTTTCTCTCTTAATATTTACAACAATCCCATGTGGTAGGGAATGGTTTTCCATTTTACAGATGAGAAATTGAGATTCAGAAAGGTGAAGAAAATTGCTCTAAATCTATAGCTCGTAAGTGGGCTATCTCCCCCTTTAGCTCTGCCTGTGTTTTCCCTCCAACTTGGAGGAATGCCTCTCTCCAAGCTATCCATTAGCTCTTAATTTCTCAGGAACTGCTTCCAGCACCTGAGGGCGGAGGCGTCAAGACCTCTGGGGCTGTGGTCAGCGAAGGCTCTGAGAAGCCTCAGCTAGAAGGAACAACACAGCCAGGTCACCACCAGTCAGTAGGGTGGAAAGAATAAAGTAGACACACGGCTAGAAGGGCTCTATGAGACCCTTCCGAAGCTTTTTGTTTCCTTTTGATTCATGGAGTAAGCCTCCATCATCACCATCAAACACGATCGTCTAGCTTTTTATTCATCTTTTATATGTTCATGGTAAACTTATCCTTGAATCCTTGGCTCAGTAGAAATAAATCTTTAAAAAGTAGAAGATGAACTTAAGAACATCATGCTTAAGGACACCTAAAGGAAATAAAAGCAGCCTCTAAAATTAATAATGCTGGGTGCCATCATTCACTAACAAATATTTATTCAGTGCAAAGAAAGTGAGACAGAGTGCCTGCATTTAAAAGGCTTATGACTCAGGCAAAAGCTAGAATAGGTGTACAAGTAACTGCAATGTGAGGTGGATTGTGAGGAATGTCAACAGAAAAGATGTGAATAGAGAGGATATGTCTTCTTGTAGAGACCCCGGGGAAGCCCCCTGGAGACATGGAGCATTCTAGCCGTGGTAGCACTTCAACGGATGAAGGAGGAAGGGGCAGCTAGTTTAAGGCAGCATAGGTACTGGGAGAAAGCAATGTTGAATTTAGATATTCAGGGAGATGAGGTAATATGAATTTTAATTTGATTAGAATATTGTGATAGCATATGTATTAATCCAAAATACCCTGATTTCACATTTTCCTTACTCATATTATGCAGAAAATTTCCTAAGAGATGGTACATGAAGAAAAGGGGATTTGGGTCAAGTGTATTTCATAAGCATAGCATCCTATGACTTCCAGGGGGCGTGTTTTACAGGGTTAATTGTATTTTAAAGGCTCCTAGGAATGCTGTAGTAAAGAAATCTGTTTAATTTCTTTAATGCAACACTTCCTAAATTCGTAGGACCATAGAAGCTGTGTGTGTGCGTGTGCAATGCATCTTAACCTCTCGTTGAACTAGTGGTTCTGGAAGCATATTCTCAGAAACATCTTTATTTAACTACCTCAAGGATCCTGGCAGGGCCTAGAGAGTCCTAGCAATGTTTGTTATTAAATTTTCATTTTTCTTTTTATTTCTAGAAATATCAAGTAACTTATAAACTTGAATAAATATATAGGATATAACGGTTTAATGTAAACTCAAAAAAGTTGCTTTTTGTGTACCCATTGGTGTTTGCTCTTCCCCAGAGGTGATGAGTGCAATTGTTATTTCAGCAACTACAGTGAAAAGAAAACATCAATTAGTGATGAAAAGCACCTCAAAGAAACAAAACTAAAGCTGAGTAAGGAGAAAGCTATCTGGCACTCCAAACCAATGTCTAGTATCTCTTGGTGAAATATAAGAAGCCAGTTCTAAAGGGCTTAGTGAATCTCCAGCCTAAAGACATGACTGTTCCAATCTGGGATCTAATTCTTATTCTACCACATATTACAACTGAACATCAGTTTACTGATCTCTAAAATCAGATCTGATAATGAATAGGAAAGAAGTTTATAAACTAAGAAGTGAATAAATTTAAAAAATTATCATCATATCCCCAATTCAATAAATACTTCAAAATTAACTCACTAGCCACAAAAATAAATATTGAAATAGAAAAATTTAAAAATATCTTTTACAATAGCATCACAAACCATGAAATTCTTATGGATAAGTCTGATAAATATGTGCAAAATTTGTACATGGAAAAAATGCAAAATATTGATGGGATAAATTACAGACCTAGATAAATTAAGAGATACACTGTATTGATGGATCAGAAAACTCAATATTATTAGGATGTCAATTTTCCCTAAATTTATACATTGATTCAACACAATCCAAATTAAACATCCCAGCAGATTTTTCTTTTTTTGTAGAAATTGATAGGTTGATCCTAAAATTTTATACTAAATGCAAACAACCTAGGTTAGCCAAAAAAATTTTGGAAAAGAAGAAAAAAGAACAAAGTTGGAGCACTCACACTGCCTGATTTCAAGACTTACTCTAAAGCTACGGCAATCAAGACACAGTGATGGGCATGCGAATAATATGACATCACATAGATCAGTGGAACAAGAGGGGGAGTTTAGAGACAGACACATGTGTTAATGGTTGTTTTATTTTTGACCAAAGTGTCAAGGTATTTCAATGGAGTTAGGAGAGTCTTTCCAACAAATGGTGTTGGAATGATTAAATATCTAAATGAAAAAAAAATATCATTTGAACCATACCTTAACCATATTAAAAAATCAACAGAAATGGATCATAGAGCTAAATGAAAAATCTAAAACTATGAAACTTCTAGAAGAAAGCAGGAGAAAATCTGTGAGATCTTTGCTTAAGTGAAGATTTCTTAGCTAAAACACAAAAGCACAATTCATTAAGGAAAAATATCTTGGTAAATTGGGCTTCATTAAAGTTAAAAAATTCTGCTCTTCAAAAAACACAGTTAAGAAAATGGAAAGATAAGTCATAGACTGAGAGAAAATATTTGCAAAACACATATCTGAGTAAATACTTGTATCCAGAATATATAAAGACCTGTCTTACAATACAATAAGACAAAAAACTCAGTTTTAAAAGTTTAAAAGATTTGAACAGACACTTCACCAAAGAAGAGATGCAAATAAGCACATGAAAATGTGCTCAGTATCATTAGACACTAGGGAGAGGCAAATTAAAACCATAAAGAGATATCACTATCTCATTATAGTAGAGAGACTATTTTGACCAAATAAAAAATAGAAAATCCAAAGTGCTGACAAGGATGTGGAGCAGCTGTAACTCTCAAATGTTGCTGGTGGGAATGTAAAATGGTACAGCCACTTTGGTAAATAGTTTGCAACCTGTATGTGAATATTTTTAGCAGCTTAATTAATAATAGTAAAAAATTGGAAATAAACGCAATATCCGTCAAGTGGTAAATGAATAAACAAGTTTTTGTACATCCATACAGTGAAATAATCTCAATAATAAAGAATAATGAATGTCTGATACATGGAACTACGTAGATGAATCTCAAACGTACTACGCTAAATAAAGAAACCCAACACAAAATGCTACATATTGTCTGACTCCATTACATAATATTCTGGAAAAGGCAAACTTATAGGGATAGAAATTGTATTGGTTTGCCAGAATTTGGGGGTCAGGAGAGGGGATTGACCACAAAGGGGCACAAGGGAACTCTTTAAGTTAATGGAAGTTCTGTTTCTTGATAATTTCTTGTTCTAGTTTCTTGGTAACGGTTATACAAATGTAACCATTTACCAAAATTCTTTGAACTACATAGTGATTTTTACTATAGGTAAATTATATCTCAATAATCCTGATTTTTAGTAAAAAGGTAACTTTGACTGCACATAAACAATGGACTAGAATGTTGGGAGCCTAGGCAGGGTAACCAGTTAGGAGAAGTCTGTGTTCATCCAGGCAGGAAGAGGTGAATGAGCATTTGTATCAGGATAGTGGCTGTCAGATGAAGAGGAGGTTCCTAGCTATAAATGGAAAATTATTCATCCACAAAGACCTGTTTGTTTACATAATACTAGATATCCAGATGTTTTCAGATAGCTTAATAATTTACTTAACGATTCCTGTTTGGATGTTAAGCTTTGTATACACACAACATAAAAACACGTAGACTAAAACATCCAGAGAAGTGATTCACAAATACAAAGTTCAACTTACTAGATTGACTAGTTTTTGCTGATAATGGTGATGGTAGTGGTCTTGGTAACAATAATGCTGATAATGATGGCATTGATGATGATGATGATGATAACAGCGATGATGATGGTGGTGATGATGACGATGATGACAATGATGATGACAGAGATGATGATGATAATGAAGATAATGACAATGATGGCAATGAAGAGGATGATAATGATGAAGATGATGATAATTCTGCTTCTATTTATTAGGATAAGAAAGATTCCTTCTTTGTATTTTTTTAAGACAGTGGTTCTCAAAGTGTGGCCCCCAGACCAGCAGCATAAGCATTCTGGATTTTTGGAAATACAAATTCTCACCCCCTACCCTAGACCTACTCAATCAGAAACTCTGGGGGTGTAGCCCGCAATCTGTGTTTTAGTAAGCCTTCTGGGTAATTATGATGTGTAGTAAAGTTCAAAAACTACTGCTTTAGGATAAAAAAAATGATTGAAATG